GGAGGACGTCGAGGATGCATGCTGGTTCTGGTAACATAATGACGGGAGTATCTTTGCCTTTCTCATCATCTCCCTCGGCGCCATCACCCTTCTTCCTACCAACATTTAAACGAATGGTTTCTGATCTATTCGCTACAGAAAAGTTGCACGTGTCAAACTGAGCACCGGTAAAACCGTTCTATGCTACGTTCCTGGGGAGGGGCACAATCTACAAGAGCACTCGGTGGTGTTGGTGAGAGGAGGTAGAGCTCAGGATCTACCCGGTGTTAGGTCGGGGTTTCTCTCGTGTTATCTACCGGTATACTGAAACTTTTACTATATAGGTATCGTCTGGTAAGAGGAGCATTAGACTTTAATGGTGTAGTAAATAGGAGAACTGCTAGGAGTAAATATGGAGGTTCGTGTTCTTTCTCTCTCTACTCTGTCGTGAGGGATATTATTTCCCTCTACCCATACCCCTACTTTCTACGTATTCTAAGCAAATACTGATGAATTTGATATAGCCAAGAAACCGAAGAGCAACTAAACCATCATCAGCTCTCGTACCCCTTGATCCTTTATTCCTTGGAGTCTGGACCAGCGCTCGAAGGTTACAGAGCTATCCTGACCACCCGCTCATTCACGGATATTCCAGTTCGTAGAGATGCTATAAAATTATAATTTAACTACATATTCGTTGCTCCTCTCAAAACACCTGATGGAGTTTCAAGAGCCTGGGTGGCTTGACTAATTTAGCTTCCTCCTGCAATGTACCATGTCTAAATCGAGCTATGACTTGAGCGTAAATGATCGATCGATCGCTTGCACGACGCTCGACTTCTCATGCTACTATTGAGGGTACTGGTGGACTCTATTCTTGGGAGCACGGCAGAGATGAGGGTCGATGAATCTCGATAGGCATGCTTACAGCTCCTTTGCAGCATGTAGCACTTTGATAGGCTTCTGAATGCCACTCAAAAGCGATACGCTTACGCAGCCCACTCATTGGTACCAAAGTGAGGTGTGCGCGCACAAGGCATGCCTCAGCCTTGTGCCCAACCACCATTCTCGACTAGTATATAACGCCTCGAATTATGAGATCAGTCACCCAACTTTGTCTCCTCCACACCCTCGCTATTTCCATTTTGCACGTCTACGCGGCCTATTGGTGACAAACCTTCCTGTGTAAAGTAGCAAATAAGCATGAATATTGGT